AATAGAATAGGAATAGAATATATGGAATGGAATAGAATAGAAAATATGGAATGGAATAGAATAGGATAGAAAATATGGAATGGAATAGAATATAATAGAATAGAAAATATGGAATGGAATAGAAAAGAAAATATGGAATGGAATAGAAAAGAAATTATGGAATAGAATAGGAATAGAATATATGGAATGGAATAGAATAGAAAATATGGAATGGAATGGAATAGAATAGAAAATACGGGATGGAATAGAATAGTAGAATAGAATAGAATAGAATAGAGAGTAAAGTAGAGCAGAGCAGATTAGAACAGAACTCTTTAATGACCAAGTGTGATTGGACACACAAGTAATTATTGGTTTCTTTGCAGTCATCTGGTCATTACTACTCTCTCTGAGAGCTTTCCGCTACTCATATTTTCCCCCTCTAGTATCAGAGGTGCTGAGTTGCTAAAATAGCACCATTCTTCACGTTCTGAATTCCCGTGCAATGCCACGTGAAAGGCATCAGGAAACGCTTCATAAAAACAGAGTAAGGATTTGGGGAAACGAACACACCAAAAGCATCCGATAGCTTTTCCTGGTTAACTCTTATGCGCCCCCAAATCAGAACTCTACACCCCTATAAAACACAGTTTAGATACGCAATTTTTAGGTCTATCAACTATGGGCTAGAAATTAACCGTCTACCAACAGCCCCTTGAATAATGGAACCATACACCATGAACTCTCAGAAAAAAACACCCCGTCACCCGTGTCAGTGAGATTTTCCGTCATCCAGGTCATAGCTGTATCAAAGTTGCTTCCCCCCCCCCCCCACACACACACTTCAAAGGGCAATTGGATTGGGTGGGTGGGGGGTTTCTTTGTGGAAGAAAAAACATTTCACTTCTCATCCAAGAAGCTTCATTGGTTTCGAGGGCTGGAAGGATAGATGCCGCCAGTTGAGGCTGGATGCTGAGGGGATGGAAGGATAGATTCTGATAGGATAATGGGGTAAGGAGGACGGATTGTATTTCTTTGCGATCATCTGGTTGTTGTTGTGGCCCACCAGCAAAGTCGGACTGTGAGAAGGTCGGGAAGGAGCATGGGCCAGTCCTGGAGTCTGGGGAAGGCTCGGATGAGGGCTCTGTGTCAGAGGCAGAGAGGGGGCCGAGGCCGTCTGGCAGTTCTCAGCTGCCTTCGGAGCTAGACAGCAGTGAGGCAGAGGAACAGCTGGAGCCTGTTCCCAGTGTGCCCATGCGCAGAGCTGCCAGAAGAAAAGAACAGCTAAAAAATCAGGGTCGACTTGAGAGTAAGGCCACAGGTGGACGGTGAATGGCCCCTCCCAGAGGGAATAAAAGAGGAGTGAAAGGGGAGGGGGCTTTTGCAAGAAACAATTGGTTCATTCGTTTGTTTCAGGAGTGTGAAGATCTTGTTTGTTTGTTTGTTTG